ACCTATTATCCAGATCACCAACCTCAGTGGCCTTGGTAAGCACCTTATATCTGGCCCTATCTCGACTTGACTCTATTTTTCTGAGAAAGCTACCGGTTGTCATATGCAGCGGCTTTCTTTCCCTTGCTTCATTTTGGGGCTGAGCATTGTCTGGAGTACTGGTGTTGAATAGTAAGTCGCTAGTGTAATAAGCCATTTCATCTTCACTAAGCGAGGTCGCATTTCTACTCATGGATGAATCTGGAACAGAGGAGGTTGACATTACAGTTGAGGGTGAAATAGTATCGAGCATGGCTGAAGATTGATGACAGGAATGGCTTGTCAGCACATCATCGAGATGTGTGTCATTAGCCTCTCCAGCAGTTTCGACATTAATCGGAGTGCTTGAGTCCATTTCACCAGGAAAAAGTCTGACAGGAATTTGAGCCAGATTAATCCGTGGCATAGGTCGCCTAGAAGTCAATGATCTGTGCAAACGGTTATCATTAAGGTCCATATTCAGCAGATGCCTCTGTCTGAACAAAGACTGAACGGGCTGGTGTCGACGAGCCTCGAGGCGTTTGCGCTGTTCGTTAACAGCGACAGCAGCAGCGCAGTCACGCATTTGGGTGGCCATTGAGTTGATAAAGGCTGCAGCTGAGTTGTCCAAACCGATTGCAGGACTAGATTTGGGAGAGGCGCCAAGGTAATTGCTTGCCGAATCGCAGGGTCCAACAGGGCCAGGCTCGGTATTTCCTGGATTCGTAAATGATTTAGAGCCAAGCTGCTGAGGGTAAATAACCGCAGAGTCAGGAGAAAGATGAGAAGTAGAGTGAATGTGCTCTGATTCTGATAGATGCTCCGACTCAGATGGATGTATAGATAGCCTCTGGGGAAAAACGGTAACAAATATATTAAATAATGAAGATCATAATAAGCGGAGAACGTTTGAAGCAGATTATAATAATTAGACGTAGATTTTAATTACCAAAAGTTAATCATATTCAGAAAATAAGGATAATAAAAAAATCTGCATGATGGACGAGATAAACAAATAAGTCTTGCTGGGTACCGTGCGGTAATAAATGAGATCAGAGCCTAATACAACTTATTCACATGATTCTACTCTTTATAGGCACCCAAAAAGCAGGGCTCCCAGCAATCAAAAATAAAAGTTAAATTTCAAAATAATTATAGGTTCCAAAGCATTGTGTTTACCAAATAAATATGACATTTTTAAAATGTTCTATAAGCGTCACAAAAAGCTATTATTTTAGGGGAAGTGGCGAGCTCGGGAACTATTAATTGAGTGGCTAAGTGAGTGTAGTTATAAGCCAAAATGAGATCGCGCTCTATATATGGAAATTAAGGCACTATATGCACAACTAATCGATTATATTACTTATTTTTTAGCTTATAAGTAGGGTTTCGAGATCACCATTAAATAAGCTATGTGAGATGTATTCACCCTATTTTGTCTAAGGTGATGAAGGAATGGTAGTTGAATTTTTCCACATTGATGAGTAGAGTCCCGCTGGGAGTGTTGATAAGACCTAGTTGAGGTCGAAACTGCAGTCCACCCTTGATGAGAACACCTTTTTTGAGAAATCGAGGCTATGTGAAATTTGATGGAAGCATCAGCTGGAAAATTTAACAAGTCCTTCGTCAACTTAAACGAAATAAGGTGAATACATCCTATAACTTATTTACTGATATTACCGAAATTCTACTTATATCAGGAATGCAATGGATAAAATAAACCTGAATTTGAAAATGATTTGGTGCAATTGTATCTCTAATTTCTTTTTTTTAAGACTCTACCGAAGACCGGAAAATTTAATTGGAATGCGCGAATAGATCTTCAGCATATCACTTACAAGTATTGTAAATAAGATAAGAGCCTTCATTTGTCATATATTAAACGCTCAGAGGAAAGAAAAATAAACGGCTCAATAATGGTGACTGTCTGCAGAACTTCTAGTGACCTACCCCCCCCTTCCCCAGTCAATGTTTAGCTTGTTTTACATCCCATACGTAGCCATGGCTCAACATTCTTTTGGCGCAGAGATCTCGTGAGTGGGTGACTAATCTTGTCCGTTTAAAAATAGGACAACTGGTAACACCATTTGTTCCTTTTCTCTCTTCGTTTCAGGGCCTTCATCTTTGGAATTGTAGAGGGCAAGTGTTTTATACTTTAGACGGTCCACATCCTTCTTAGGAACACAACAAACTGATTCTGAGACATTTGTATAACATGATACAGATGCCTACTTCATGCTCACCTTACATAGCTAAATATTAGTAGTGGATGTGGTGTGATTTCATTTATCTCCATATACTGCAAAACTTTGAATTTTATGCTATTCTGTCTGGTTTCTTATAATGATCATATTTAACATAAAAATTGAGAGAACTCCTCAACAGACATCTTCATATGAGCACATGGCCTTGTAAAAATCCAACCTGAAAAGGCCCATAAAAGTATAGTAACTAATGTATAAATCAAGTGGCAAGTGCAAGTTTCTCTTCATACATGAGCCCCATTTGACTCATTCTCAATCGCTGTCAATCTTAGTCAAAATTTAAGAGAAAAATAGCCATTCAAAACAAAGTATACTTTCCAGAATCATTGACTTGCTCTAAACAACTGTATCAGATCATCGAATTTCTTAATATTGCGAAATATACGGGATTAATCCAATAGATAATCAGATAAAAATAGTGTTCATTAATAGAGCATTTTATTATAAGTGAATTTGTAATGATCTAGAATAAATTTTGCCTTGTCATGCTTTTTAAATCAATCATCTAAGCAAATATACATAAATCAAAAAGTAAGATGGGTGTATAAATAATATTAGCATCAGGATCTACACAGACTAATATAGAAGTAAAAACACAAAAAGCGGCTTATCCTTCTTTCCCGACAACTATACATTGGTATTATTAAGTTTGATATATGATATCTGAAAGTAAGGCACGTTATAAAAACCAAATAGCGTTGTTTCGAAAGTAGCAACAGTAAATACCACAGAATGATCAAAGCGTGAGTGACCGAGTATGATCATAATCTGATGATATTCAGCATCAAACCATCTAATAAACAGATAAATAATGAGTGATCCTGAATGATGTTAAGCACTTTTCAGTTCGTTTGAAGAGGCGAGTGGAGGGGATTCGTATGTAGCTATAACCGAAGGGAGATTGCTTCGAAGCTGTGACAATATATCTGTGCGAAAAAGTGCTCAGCTCACTGTCCCGCTGAGCTTTCGTCAAAATATGCGACGGACATCTTCCAAATAGGACACCATACTTTACGATAGTTCACTAAACACGAAAACAAGAAATGCGGCCGGTTGCAATTCTAGCTACTTCCTATGACCTAACTTTGTCCATCTAATTAAACGTCTCGTGATTTGGTCTGATATCCTCTTTTTCCTATAAGTTTATTTAAAAGTGAATTGGCTTCAGATAATGCGTACAACAGATGTGATTTTGACCGAACTCCTGCGTCCTCCGTTAAACTACGTCTATTTTTTATTCTGCAATGTTGCCAGAGGAGATTGCGTTTCATTGCACACTTGTTGTGTAAATGTGGAGACATTTTCTCTCATACCCAAATATAAAATCAAAGCCTCAAGACAATCCCCCTTTGGCTTCCGATAAGACCAACTTAAGAAATTCCCTTATCGTCTCTTCAATCGAAAATAAAGGTATTCCAACATCTAAAACCAATATTTATAGTGAATTAGAATGCCAATATGGAATGTAAATAGATAATGTCATGTGTGATCAAGAGAGATGAACTCATCCAACCCATACGAACTTAAAGCTCTTAACATAACTTAGGGTTCTTTGAAAAATTTATAGTTGTGAACATAGTAGTATTTGGCCTCTAA